TTTGAGACAGGTGCAGAACAAGAAGAATGTCAATGAAGTGGTCAGTTTGCTTCTTGGAGAAGGTAACTAGATGGTGACAGACAACAGGAAGAAGGTTGAACTGCTTAATTCCGATTTTGCTTCTGACTTTTTGCAAAGGAAAAATGTGCTCCAATCTGTCAGAATATGTACAACAGGGGACTGAAGGGACTTCTGGTTTCGCGTGGCTTCGGTGGCAGCAGGAATTCGCGACTGTCCGCGATTCCTGCTGCGCTTGCTGCCAAGGTGCCCCCGATTCAAATGGGTCAGGGGGATATGGCTGCCCTGTAGAGGCAGCCGAAGAGAGAGGGGATCCGGACAGGGGGTTGGGGGTGTCGCAGACCCCCTCCTCGCCCGGAAAAACCCCTTTTTCCTGAGGTGGTGGAGCGGCGGTCAGTAATGGCCGCCACGAAGAAGCCTGCAGCCGGGTAAGATTGTGCTGGAGGAAGCAGGGAAAGTGAAAGTGCTGGCTGAGCCGGGTCAATCAACAATTTTTAAACATCCTGGATCTGAATTGTTTGAATTGCTGGAAGATACATTGTATCCCTAAGAAGATCGGAAAGCAGTGGAGTAAGCTGTCAAGGGGAAAAAACTTTTTTTTCCTTCACTCTCCCACCCATAGAAACAGCAGATGAAGATTTGGAAAATTTATTTGGGCACTGAAGGTAAATTATTTTGAAAGTTAAAGCCAAGGGACAAAGGATTCCTGGACATTGGATTTAACAACTTAAGAAATCGGAAAACCCTTATTGGAGGTACGGATTTCTGAACATTTAAAAGAAAATTGTTGTTGTAAGTGGGAAGGGAGAGGAAAAAAAATTGGAGCAGAAGTTGAAAAAGGAGATCGCCTAGAACTTTAAAGAAAGATACATTGTAATTGGATCTCTTTGACTAAACAGTAACCCCAGAAAGAGAAATAGAAGAAAGAAAAAAAGTATTAAAAGAAACAGTCTATTTGGATGCTTTGGTAACTTTGGAATTTTTTGGAATTATTCTTGATTAAAAATACTTGGGTGGTTGTTTTGGAAAAAGTTTTTCTCTTCACGATGGCATCGCTTGTGGATGAACTAAAAATTGAATATAAAAAATATAAAAAAGAAGAACAAGATGGAAAAGATACTTTGGACACTCTATTTCAATTTCTAGAAATGGCGGTATGCACTTATGAAAAGTTGACTACGCAGCAGGATGACTGGGACAAAGAAGAAGAAGAAGAAGCCATCTTTGATGAACAATGGGTTCTTGTTGGGGAGGAGGAAAAAGAGGAAAAGAAAAAGGGGATTTTAAGGTCTGAAAAAACAACCAAAAAAGAGAAAAATGAGATGAAAGGTGGATACAAGGTTAGAAAACAACAGAAAGAGAGTAAGAAAAGGGAGGAGGAGAGACAAAGGGGTAAAAAGGGCAAGGAGAAGAATAAGCAAGAGAGAAAGGAGGGGATGAGAAGCCTTAATGGTGGGAAGCAAGACTTAAAGAAACAAAGCTTATTTAGAGACAATGGGTAAATCTAATTGAAAAAAGGGATTCTGGAAGGTACATAAGATTGTGTTTTTATATGTGTT